TAAATCTGTACTGGAAAAAGTACAGCCAGAATCCTCCTTAGAAGCCAGGATGGCCAGACTTCTTCATTCATACTTCAGACATATTATCAGGCGGAAACAGACCCCGGCGGAGAAGGACATCATTTTTGGTCAAGTGGAGGGTCAATGAAAAAGAGAAAGACTCCCAATGAGATTGATTGGCTCAGTGACAGTGGCAATGGACCAAGAATAGCAACTATTGTGAGGTTGGCTCAGGACTGGGCAGTGTGTTGTCCTCTTGTACATAAAGTCCCTATGAATCTGTACCAACTCAATGGCACCTAACAACAACAACAACAACAACAATTCAAATCCTGGCTTTGGGTATAACAAAACACTGAGGGCTCAACAGATCTCCTTGAATTCCTTTTAGCTGAAGCACTTGTAGATAATCACATTGCTTTGGACTTACTGCTTGCTAAATTTGGAGAAGATTGTGCTATTGATAACAAAACTTGCTGTGCTTGTATTACGACACCAGGAGACGTTAAACTCGGAATCTGTGTCATCTGAAAAATGGCAGAGTGGACCTGTCCAAAGCCTGTCCTGAGCCTGGTCCACCAATCTCTTCCCCACTTGTGTCCCAAACAAAGGGGAACAGCTCTCCTTCCAGGAACAAAAGCAAAATCAGCAAATAGGTACAGTTGAAACAGTCACTACGTTTGGCGCTATCCTAACTAATGACCTGATCCCCCTAACTTGTGGTTGTTGTGAAGTGCCGTTGAATCGGTGCCAACCCATAGCGACCCTGTATAGGGTTTCTGAGGAGCAGCTGGTGGATTTGAACTGCCAACCTTGTGGTTTACAGTCCAGTGCTGCTCCTATGGTACCATGCCAGGAGTCTGATCATCTTAACTACTGGAACAGAAACACTACACCAATGCCTGCCCACAGGTTCTAGAATCTTGACTGTCTTCCCGTTAAAAGTCCCAGGCTGTCTGAATACTATCTTGCTTGGGGCAGTACGGTTTTTCTTTGCAGATGTTATCCATTGACAAGATCAATTGTTGGGTGGGTTCTAATCCCTTCTGATGGTGTCATCAAAAGGGAGTCCCACACAGGGAGAGGCCAGCACCCGAGGAACTGTTTAAAATCAAGGAGCACAAAGGCAGCCAGATGCTGGAAGGGTTGAGAAAGGGTCATCTCCCGACAACAGGCAGAGCGCACGGTCCTGGATTTGAACTTCTAGCCACCACAGCTGTGAGAAAATAAAATTTTATTCATTGAAGTCAGCTACTTTGAGGGGTAGTGAGTTTAGGTCCAGGGAGGAGGAACAACTCAGAAAAGAAAAGTAAACAGTTTGCACAACTCACTCAATTGTACCTGAAGAACCTGCTCAGTTGGTGTAGGTTTTGCTGTCGTCAACAGCAGAAAAGTCAACAGATAATCACAAACACACACACACACACTGCCATGCTACCCTCCAGGAGGGAGGCAGACCTGGAAGAACCCTACTCCTCTGTCCTTCTGGGCTTCGATACACAATAAATACACAATGAATGGTCTTTGCTCTGAGTCCTGTCTCTCAGTGGTGGCTTATTTAGCAACAAGTGACGAAGAACCTTTTTTTACAGTTACAACAATAGATGCACCCTGATTTGTTGTTGGTA